TATATTTTTTACACCTCATAATGATATGCTCCACATTTTCTGGAACATTACAGTCATCACAATTATCTGATATGCATTTTCCCATTAAAAACAGGGTTGATTTTAAACCAGTATGTCCAAGTCTTAATCTTGATATAATCACTTCTTCTCTTCTGCATTTCCCTTTAAAAGCCTTGACGTTAATCGATTTCTGAATATTATAATAATATCGCCCTTTGTTATCTATGTCCCACTTTTGCCATGATTCTCTCACTTTTGTTTTAATTAATGATTTGGCCTCACCTTTACCAAATGGGACTTTCATTATTTCCTCGTCCTTTAATTTCAGTGCATTCTTTGCAGTCAAATCTGCTATCTCATTGCCCTCCACGCCAGTATGAGCTGGAACCCAACAAAACTGAAGATTAATTCCAATTCTCTCTATATTTAACATTATCATGGATATCTCTTTATATAAATCCTCTCTTATTGTTTCAGTTGAATTCAAACTATTAAGAGCTGCAACAGAGTCCGAACAGATAATAACTCTTTGAGGTTTTACTTTTTCTACCCATTTTAATCCTAAAATTATGGCTACTACTTCAGCTGTAAATACAGATAATTTGTCATTAATTCTTTTGCATATGGTTACATCAAACTCTGGTATGTACACTCCTACTCCTACATGATCATTCCTTGAATCTTTAGATCCATCAGTGAATATTGGTATATACTGATAGTAGTTCTGCTTAACATATTCCTGAACCAAATATCCAATATTATCAGCGTTCCTTTCAGTCCATTCTTTCTTTAGTTCTAAAAGTTTCAAGTCTACATTGGGAACTGGAAATATCCATGGAGGAACATTACCCCATACCATATTTGGGCCGTACTCAAATCTCTTTAAACCATATTCTTTCACTACTGTATTAATATTCCAACCGAATCCTTTACCTTTTCGTTCTTGCAAATACTCCCAGCAATCACATAAGACCTCTGTAGCCGGTTGTTCTTTCCCAGATCCTTTTAACTTAACCCAGTATGTCAGTGACAGCTTTATCCGTCTTAAGTATAGTGGTAATTCTTTAGTTTCTACAAGTAGCGCATTAGTAGGAGTTGCCAAACACTAACTGAAAGGACTGGGGCTTTTAAACACTGGGCGATTGGGAAAACACAGGTGCAAGGAATGACTAATTAAAGGGAACACAGCACACCTGGGGAGGGAAAACACAACACAAAGAGTCCAGGGGCGTGACAGGTTTTAAGTTTTCATGAATTTGCCACGTTGATCATCCGAAAGCATCTTGGTTTGAAAGTGACTTTCTGTGAGCTATTCATTGCATAGATTTTTAACCCGCAAAGTTTTACAAAAAGTTTCACCACACCTTTACATTTTTTTTTTGCCCAAACTTGGAGGCTCGCCTTAAAGTGGCTCTGATTTTTTCTTGTCACAAACAGCTCAAGTCGTTTCATTAGTTCTAATGTGATGTTTTCAAATTAGTAATAGAGATACATTGGACACAGCTTTTGAACTAGCAACAACAAATTTGAATCTGTGACATAAGAAAGTAGAGGGACTTTGGAACATTCCTTGATTTTTCTACTTATTTGTTATGTAAAAGCAATATAACACTCGCAAGAGTGTGTTATAGCTGTATATCATGACAGGTGTGATGACTTGTGGCCAAATGTCAGCCATAAACATTCTTGTGAGTTTGCTATTGCTTTAATAACGTAAATGTAAATATCATTGCTTTACAGCTCTCTTACTGGATGTGATGACTGTAGCAGGCATGCAGAAGTTGGTGAAGCGCAAAGGGCCATGGGAAATGGCGCCCAGTTTCCTCGACTACCTGGCCATGGACATCTATTCTTTCCCGGCAGCCCATGCAAGCCGAGCAGTCATGGTATCTAAATTCCTGTTGGCACACTTGGTGCTTGCAGTTCCCCTGCGTATTTTGCTTGTGTTATGGGCAGTCCTAGTTGGCATGTCCCGTGTGTTGCTGGGTCGCCACCATCTGACAGATGTCGGATGTGGCTTTGCCTTAGGATTCCTTCATTACAGTTTAGTGGAGATGGTGTGGCTGTCTTCCAACACTTGCCAGACTCTAATATCCATAGGAACATTCAACTGGAGCCCCCTCTACTGATCAGTACCTGTCTTTTGAGGGATTTCAAAATAAATTTTTTTTTCAGTTCAGTTTAAGTGCCCTACATCTATTCTAAAAGCGTGCGATAGAAACATGTACTTTTCTAAAAACATTAACCTAAGCAGCACACATCCATAAGCTTGATCTGACCATTTCTTCTTCCATTTCTGCCAAAGCAATATAAAGTTTGGAGAAATGCTTTGGAAAAGCATCAGGTGCACAGTTTTTCCTTTCGCTTTAAAAGAAAGGATGTTGATGCAAGTATTTTTTATTGCTAACATTGATGAAGGCCAAATCAGTATGTGTGATTTATATCAATCGGCTGATGGATTTTACTGATCACAGTAAGTGAGCGAAACATCTGCTCAGGGACTATATCAAGCAGAATAATGAGTCATTTCAGATTTCTATTTTCTTGGAATTGTATATAATTTTCAGACTATTTACAATGCATTTGAGAAAAAGTTGTAAATGAAACCACCGCAGATAATTCGGGATTTTATAGACCGTTTTGGGTGGCTGGAGTTTAAATACAATTGTACTGACATTTCATGATACTCTGAATGCATCACATTTATATTAATATAACTACTTAAGCATTCAAACTGAACATTTCAAGCACATTTTTCACTATTACCAAAAATTGCAATGTTGTTTATATGAAATTTTATGTTGTTTAATTCCAATCGCTGCAAGCCTCAGATGTGCCATTTTGTATGATTTCCACAGCAGTGTTATGTATGGTATGGGCCTTCTGGAAATAAATGAATCTCTTCAATTAATTGTATACATGATTATTGTAAACCAAACATCTTATAGTGTTGTACAGATTGGGGAAAAAAGATACATAAATCAAACAAGTTCTACATCTTTTATGAACAGAATTTATTAATTTTGTGTCAACTTAAAACATGTGAATATGTATGTATGCAAGCGAGTGTGTGTGTGGGGGTGTGTGTTTTGGATTCTTCATGCCTAAAAATGCAGAGATAAACACTTGCAACGGATGTGATATGAATAAAATACATTTTATGGAACATGATGACAACTTTGTACATTATAACATTAAACAATATCAAGAAAATCTCAAGATTATATCAAAAGCTTTTATGATCTGCAGATGGAAAATGAGAGACAGAGAGATGAAGAAAATCATTACTTTATTGAAAGTTGATGTGATCAAATTACTGCATGTTCATATAAATGTGCAACAGCAGAGATCAAGCTTTTATTGAGATGGTTGCTTAATATCTCAGCAGCTGTCGATGACAGTCTCCCCATTATAGCAGTGATCTGCCAGTTCCTGACCCTGACTCAGCAGTCTATAAATACCAGCAGGGGTCAGTCTCTGAGTCCATGTTCATGCTACCTACTATTAGAAACCCAGCAATGCTCTTGTGACCTACATACACACACATGTAAAGACTGCCCACTATTGACACAGCGTTGATTTTTTGTTTAATAAGCTTCATACATTTTATAGAGTTTCTTTGAGCAAAATTCTTAAAGGTATTAAAGTCAAATTCGGTCAAACAAAAATACTATTGTTCGTTAAGAACAGTTACACAACCTTAACACATGATGAAAAACTGATGGATGAATGAATGAACAAATAAACAATAATAAATAATTATAAATAAATAAGAGTTTAAGGAAATAGCCTACATATTGATCTGTAGTTTTAAAATGATCTGTTTTCATGTTCTTTGTCTAGTTTCAGTCAATAAATATTTATTTGGAATGTAATAAAATGATTCAGTTAAACTCTGAATGTGTAGGTTCAGGCAAATTTTACATCAACATAAGTAATAAATACAACTCCAGCAGACATGCCTTTATCTATTTTATTATTAGACTTTATTTTCACCTATTATTTACAGAGAGGACACGGGCCAAAATCAAACCCTCCGACTGAAGATTAGCCTACATTTAGTGTAAACTCTGCATCAAGTGTAAACTCTGCATATTAATTGACAAGTATTAATATAATTATTATGAAATGTATATCTAAATGTAATGTTTGCCTGAACCAACTAATTTACAAATGTAAATGAATCCCTAAATTCCAAAGATATATTTATTGACAATATGATGAACAAAGAACATATTTTACCTGAAAAGAAAGAGTGTTTTAAGAGCATAAAAAACGTTTTGGTTTCACTTTATTTTGATGGTGCCTTTAGCACATTCTGTTGACTATAAGTAACGTTGCACCTACATATCTACGAAGTCTCACTATAGTGGTAGTAGTGTTTGTAGACCGGTAGGGTTAGGGTTAGATTAAGTTGACATGTTCTTGCAAAGTTACTTATAGTCAGTAGAATGTCTGTTGGGAAACCATCACAATAAAGACAGACAACTAATACTCTAATGAGAGGTAGTTGACATGTAGGTGCAGTGTTACTTATTGTCAGTAGAATGTTCAAAAGGGACCATCAAAATAAAGTGTTACCTACTTTTTTGACATTAACCATGTGTTGTGACCACTGACCTTTTGGCCAAATAGATAGATAGATAGATAGATAGATAGATAGATAGATCCACTGAAGCAAAATATGCTCTTTGAACCATTCTAAAAAAAAAACAGATAAACAAACAAATAAATGAATAATTTTTTTTCATATAATTTAAGTATAATTTGTAATGAAAAGAAAAAAAAACCTTCGTCATTCCTTTATATTGTTGCGTCAGATGCCATGCAGGGCAAATTAAAAGCTTTGATAATTCATAACGTGCATTAACCTGTATCGTATTGTGTGTATGTGTATTAAAAATATATGCAAAGAAAGCAATTGTGTTTTAATCTGTCTTAAATTCAGTTGTTCAATAAACTGCGTTACAGGGGCTTGTTGACATGTGCCATACCCTGACGTATATCCGGTTTAGTTCACTAGCATAAAGAGCAGGGACGTGCCAGACAATTTGAACGCCCTGTTGTTGCCTAAAAATCTAACAGTTCTGCAAATAATTGTCGACAACATGGCAGAGAGTGACTGGGATACCGTGACTGTTTTAAGGAAGAAGGGATCGGCTGCACAGTCAAAGTCTAAGCAGGTATTTCCATACCTTTGCCATCTGCTAACGTTACATAGTTTGCTGACGCTATTAGTTCACGTTTGGCAAACACATTGTTGCTGTGACCAGCTTTTAAGTGTTTCGCCTCGAATAATGTGCTAAATGTCTTTAATCTGTCATAAAATTTAAAATATCGATCTGGGAATAAATGCAGCAGAAATATTATCGCCGAATTAGTCCGGGTACGAAAGGTGATGGAAGCCTAATAAAAGCTGTTCACGGATGTTAGCTTTACATAACACAAACAGTACTTTTGTTTCAGGCTATACTTTCTGCTCAGAGGAAAGGAGAAGCCGTCGAAACATCGAAGAAATGTAAGAACATTTAAACCTTTTCGTATGTATTTTCCAACTGGAATTAAATGAACAATTTCTTCTTCGAAGGGGCTGCTGGACAAAACAAACAGCATGTTGTGACCAAGAACACAGCCAAGCTGGACAGAGAGACAGAGGAGCTCAGCCATCAGAGAGTGCCTCTGGAAGTAGGGAAGGTGATCCAGCTGGGCCGGCAGAATAAAGGCCTCACCCAGAAAGATCTGGCAACTGTGAGTATTTTACAGATTTACTGTATGATTCATCTCTAATTTACCCACTCATGTGCATTTATTTATATATAATTGTGTGTTTCTTGCAGAAAATCAATGAGAAGCCGCAAATCATTGCAGAGTATGAATCTGGGAAGGCCATTCCCAATAACCAAGTCATGGGGAAGATTGAGCGAGCCATTGGTATGATTTTGCTAAACCATACTTCACTATCTCATAGACTGTCTCTCATATTTTAATACCAGTGAGGGTCATTGTAGAAATTAGGGCTGCACGATATTGGAAAAAACTCACATTGCAATATGAAAAAAAAATCTGATGACTTCAATATAGCTCTATTTGGAAAAACAATTATGATTGGGGTGATTTTGTAGGCGAGTAAATCAGCATAGGAAATAAACAAATTACAAGCATAGATAAATAACAGAACAAAGATACAAATGAAATAAGCAGTGCTTTATATTTTTCAGGTAAGTCTAACAGTATTCAGGTACAGAAATTGAATAATCAAATGTAAAATAACACTGCATAGTTTTCACTGCATAAATTAAATCTAACAAATCTGTGTTAAAGCTACAAAAGGGATTTTTTTTGTGTTTTATTGTTTGATTAACATTCATGATACAGAAAGCAACTGGAACATTAAACTGCTGTGATTGTGAACCAATATACTGTTCGGCATTCCATTTTCTTTCTCAGTTGTTTACCTTCACCTAAGCCATAAGCATCTGTGTTTACAAGGATACTTGCAGAGCACAGTATTTCAGGCACAAATAGACGCAGAAGTGAACAGAAATGTGTTCACGTGCATCTGCGTGGCTCTCACCGCGTCTACACTGGACGCGAGCGACGCGACAAAATACAATAGAACCCATTATAATCAGTGATGCTGTGTGACTGACTAAACTGAATGCGGCGCGACACGACAAATCCCGACAGTAAACTGATGCAGTGTTCTCTTTATGATGTACTGACACAAAGTTCAAATGATATGCAACGGTCGCTTTGTCGCGTCCAGTTTAGACAGATTTTGGGGCCGTTCACATGTCGTGCCTAAAAACGTGTGGGAAAACGCCATTTGCGCCGCTTTCTCCTTCTTTCCAAAGCGCTCGGGAGCTTGGGCTTTCTCCACGTCTGCCGTTGCTAAGTGACCGTGACCTGCGCTCTCCTCGACGACGCGGAAGTTTCAACAAAGGATAAATGGATTTCCAGCATTGAAAATCGCTTGCAGTAGCTCTGCAACTAAATGTATTTAAAACGGTTATCTCTGTACAGCTGTCACGTCCGGTGTAGACACTGTGTCTGAGCAAAGAAAACAATAAGTAAAAATATAATGATCAGTATACTAAACATCGCACATCGCGATATCGATGCTGAAACGATATATCGTGCAGCCCTAGTAGAAATGCCCTATTTGTAGGCCTAAGTGTCACTTGAAATTTATTCTGCAGTCAAGTTTCTGATAACGGGAATCCCAAGATAAAGTTGATTTGGTGTTTGACCTGTAGTGATCTCTTTATGGATTCACCATAGATTTATGTAGAATAAAATCAGTGGGGTCAGTAAGATTTTTTTAAAACAGGAGTCTCTTATACTCAGTAGGGCTGCATGAAAAATACAGTGAAACTACTTAAGTATTATTTTGGTTTCAAATGTTTTCTTTTTATTTTAATATTTTAAAATGTCATTTATTCCTGTGCTGGCGAAACTGGTTTCAGCAGCCGTTGCACCAGTCTACAGTGTCACAAGATCCTTCAGAAAACAATCTAATATGCTGATTTGCTGCTCATGAAACATTTCTCATTGTCCGTGTTGAAAGCAGTTGTGCTGCCTAATATTTTTGTGGAAACGGATACTTTTTTCAAGATTTTTTTGATGAATAGAACGTTCAAAAGGACAACGTTTATTTGAAATGTTTTTTTTTAAAGTTGAATTTATTATTTTAATTATTTAAAGAAAAACAATCTTACTGACCCCAATTTTTAAACGGTAGTATAGATCATTTTAAACATTTGTTAAAAGAACTAGTATTACTTTGGTGTATTAAAAAATAATAATAAAAGTACTGCATTCCTTTTGAGCAGAACAAATATTTTAATTCATTTTTTTTTTTTAAATTCAACATTATTTTAATTCAAAGGAATTTCATTCCTTAGTTTTTCCTCATTGTTTTTTTGTTTGTTTCATTTTTAGGCCTTAAGTTGCGTGGAAAGGACATTGGTTTGCCGCTTGATTCTGACCCTAAGAAGAAATGAGTACAAAATCCTCGAAAGATCCACCATTCACTGAAACCTTTCAGTACTTGTATGATCTTTACAGTTTATCTTTATTAATTGCTGCATTCATATTTTCTCGATTCAATGGTGGATCAGACACGCTCATATTGCCACCTACACAAAAGGCTTATTATCTAACGTTTTATGTCAGATGATGAAGACTTGGATTAAATATATTTTTTCTTTTTTTAAGCTTGCTCACTGCTTTGAAATAAAAACGTATTTCTATGTCTGATTAAGTTGTCTTCTAAATGATCCTGCACATTTTCAATAACCCATTATTTGAAGTATTGGGAATCTCATTTGTTAAACGCGCAGTTTAATGTTAAATGCTTTACTATAATATCAAAAAATGATGTACTATGCAAATGAACTTGCACTCGGAACCATTAAACGTCTCGTGGTTGCAGTCGGACTCATTCAAGCGGACGTTGTTGCCACAGGCAGCCGCTGGCGTTGTTTCAATAAGCTGCTGTTTTTTCTCGAATTGCTACACGAGGAAACCGTGAACGGTTGATCAAATCTGAATACAACAGAAGACCAGGTTCTCATAAAACTACTTTATTTCGATATTTCAACTATCAGCGGGTCGTTCATTGCTAACTGCATAAAACATCGCCAGCAAAACGCAGTGAGGATTAGCATCACTGAAGCCTCGCTTTGCTTTCGCGCAACTGGTGAAGACAAGCGTTTGAAGTCGCTGTTCTCCCTTCATCAAACCTGCTGCCTCGGGACATTTTTCTAAGGGCATGATCAAAACCGAGACGACATTTGAGATGTCCACCCTCATGAGAGATCTATCAAGCCGTCTGCCCGCCCTTCATCGTTCCTCGCAATGACGGAGCGCTGTCCTTCAGCCGAGAAGGCGCTGTCGGAGGGCTTCGCGCGGCTGCGCTTCAAGGACACCTCGCTGCTGATCTGGCAGCAGCAGCAGCTGGAGCTGGAGAGGGCGCCTCCCAACAACTACCTGAGCCGCAGCCAGAGCTCCTGGTACAGCCGGTACGGCAACCAGGCAGTGGTGATACGGGACAAAACAAGAGTAGACTCCGACGGCACTGGACAGTCCCGGATTTGTGCTGTTATGTGATCCCGGTATTCTTGTTGTGACTGATAATTCACTACACATTTGAGTGTTACTGTCAAGTTTAAAGTATTTGTGTGATCTGTCCACATGTCATTATTCAGACAGTCGGGTGCTCATGTTTACACTGAGCTTCATGATCAATATATTATACAGTATTTTTAACATTTATACAGTGCAACAACAGTATCGTTGGAGGAATACCTGTTTATTATAGTTACCGACTAACGAGTACCAAAACTCAGTTTAACCAATTGAAAATCTAAATTTTAACCCAAATTAAAAGTGAACACAATTTATATCATTGGATGCCCCAATTTAACAAACTCCATATAATCTTTTCAAAGTATGTTATCTCTGGTAGCAATATTATTAGGCTATTTTTTTTTGTCGCAAAAGAAACATTTTTATTGCTAAAAAAGACCCAACAGATTGTAATAATACACTAATAATGGACCTTTTAAGTATGAAGTATTTGTTTTTAAATGTTTGTTAAATCAAGATTTAAATGTTTACAAATTTAAGTTGGTACATTTTGACAGCTAGACCTCAGTACACTGCTCAAGACAGTATTTTTCATTGTAGTCATTTTAATGTCTTCTAAAAAGAAAGAAAAACATATATAAAAACATTAAGTGCACTCCAATAAATATATCTAGATAGTAAAAAGACACTCCTATGGGTTTTTGTGATTTATTAACGAAAAACGAGGGGCTCAGTGTCCAAATCTCAGATTAGCTTATACATCAGATATTACCATGTAAGTCTGTGCCAAAACATACTTGTCAACTTGCTTTAACTTGCTGAACTTAACATATGCAGCGCTACCAATTTTAAAATTTTACTCGAAAGAATGACATTTACATGTTATAAACTGCTCGAAAAGTTTAAGAAATATACTGTAAATTGGCATGCAATACACAAATGTTCTCTCTCTCTCTCTCTCTCTCTCATAAAAAAGAACTAAAATACTTAGACCCAAGACAGCGTTGACAAATAAGTAGTGAATATACATTTAGATCTGTAATTATATATCTTTATATCTCTGTCTGCATCATGAAGATCAGTTTTATTTACTGGGCTCTGCTGGAGGAATTGAGGAAGAGGAGCTGTAACAGAAATCATCTTAGAGACAAGGTAAGTTATAGACACAAGGAACATGTAATGCAATACAGTGGTATAATGAATCAAATCAAACCATAATTAAAAGCATCCTACATATAAGAAAACCAATGAAGTCACTTTACCTAACGATTTTTTGATGCGTTTTCATGATTTAACAAAAAAAAATACACATTGGCTTCAACTTGATCAGTTACACCGGACCAATCTGACTTTATTTTAATGTGCCAACTAAACTTAAGGCAAAAAGAGCACATCCAATGATTTTGAAGGGTTCAGAGTTGAATTCAAGGCTGTTAAATGAAATAAAACCTTGCCAGTGCTACAAACCCAGTGAATGAGTGGCATTACTGCAGCCACAAGAAGAAAATGAAAAAATAACCTCGTAATACATTCATATTTTTTTATAAAGATTATCAGTCATGGTCCATTTCCAAACTATTCTGGATACATGGCAAGAAGTGTCTAGGTACCATTGAAAGCATTCAATACACCATTTGAGGAAAAACTAAAGTAAAATAAAGTTATTAAAATTGAGAACATAAATTAGTTGTAATACTTTCAACTAAAAATAACTATTGTCAAACACATCCTTCTGAAATGACATCTAGCACAGCTGCTTGAAATCTTGTCAAAGAGAACTTAACGTCTTTTCTTAACGGAGATCTCCTCTAAGTGGCTATTTGTCTAAGAGAGCTAGTATGCACTTGGTTTTCCCATGGAGGAGTTTCATAGAGGCTGATTCATTCCGATCTGCAGCCTTATGGCTGTTTTTAAACTTCTGAATGTATTTTTGCCATCATTTTTGAAAAATATACCCCCATTTCTTATATACTGAACTTAAATCACAACTTTGATTGTCCTATGAGTGGACTTAGAAAAGATGAGGCATATCAGATAGAAAGTAGGAAATGAGATACTCAGGGCGCCTACAAATTAATAGTACAAAAAAAAAAGTAGGAAGACGACAATCCAAATAGAAAACAAACAAATGAGCGTATGATATAGATTAAAAATTCAGACATAATTCTACATCAAATACTGAGCTGACGGCACCGGAAGAGAAAATGTACAGTGTTGAAATAGCCAAAAATGATTGCGAAGTCTCTGAAAACGGTTTAATAATGATACTGACAGTTTCCAAATGCGGCCTAGAGTACTAGTGAGTTATGTTGAGCCAAATTTCTTACATTTAAACTGGTCAACTGGAAACATTTCTGTTGAAAACACACATAACTTTGTGCCTTTTTGGATTAAAAAAAATAAATAGATTCTCTTAAAAATGGTAACAATGACGAGTATTATTATAGTCAGCAAAAGAAATGTGGAATGAGCTGAAAAGTCATGCCAACATGACAGAACCACACCGGAGTGAGAGAGCCGATAATTCATTGTTTGTTCCTTCAGACTTTGTGTAGCTACTCGATCAGTAAAATGCAGCCAGGCATTTGTCAGTTTTTGCACTAACGCATGTTTTCAGTATGGATCTAACGAGCAGCAACCTAAAAAAGAAGAAGAAAAAAGCAACGGACACACACAACCGTTTCACCTCCACAACTGACGTATTTTCAAAAAAATATCTTTTTTGTCTTTTTTTTTTTTCCTCTGGTGATACCAGGCGTTTCCCTTTGAGGGCCAGCGAGAACCTTAAAACTGCTTGAACTATTCCAACTCTCCTCTTTGTCTGAGCCAAGAGCATCCTACAAACTATTTTAAAATATCCTCTGCCATCTGCAATGCATCTAGCTCTTTATATAATGGGCCTTCAGAGAGATACTATCATGACAACACACACTACTCGTTAGAAAATACAGGAGGTTGAAGTATGTGACGCGCCGATTGTTCAGTCTGAGTCACTGCTCTCGGAGCTGGAGCCGCTGGAGCTGCTGCTGCCCGAATCTGAAGAACTGCTGCTGCCACTCAGCCGAGATGGCCCGCCCCCCTGCGCTGACCCCGCCTTCTCTGCTGGGAACAGGGAAGAGAAGTGATCGCAAGGTTCAATATGTGTGAGGAAAGCAAACGCTGAATGTACATATTTTATGCAACTCATTTCAGTTAAGTCCTTTGTCCCTATATTGTTATCTTAAAGGGCTTTACCCACACCTGCAGCTGTGTATTACGATAAAGCAGAGACATGCACAAAGAAAGCAAAGAACTGATGTCGAAAGGACAGAATAAATTACGTGCCCACCAAAGCAGCTGATATCAAGTGAAGTCAGTTAGTTACAGCACATACACAACCACTTTGATCAGTTATTAGCCTCTAGCAGTTTTAACCAAATGTGATGACTTGTCCAAAGCAGGGCTCGACAGCAAGGATTTTCTTTTACTGGCCCCTACACTAAAAAAAACCTTGACATGATTAAAATAAATATTACAAATTAATTATTTAATATTAACCTGTAGACATTTTTAAATTCTAATTTAAAATTTATATTTAATAAGTACAAAATACCTATATACACTACTGTTACAAAATTTACAGTCAGTAAGATTTTTTAATTTTTATGAAAGGAATCCTCCTGTGCTCACCAAGGCTACATTTATGTGATCAAAAAATATGGTAAAAACAGTAATATCGAGATAGATTACTGCAATTTAAAAATGTCTATTTTAACGTATTGTAAAATATATTTTATTCCTGTTATGGCAAAGCTGAATTTTCAGCAGCCATTACTCCAGTCTTCAGTGTCACATGATCCTTCACAAATCGTTCGAATATGATGATTTGGTGCTTAAGAAACATTTCTTATTATTATCAAAACAGCTGTGCTGCTTAATATTTCCGTGGAAACCCCTTTTTGTTTTTTGCTTTTTTTCTTAACAGAATATTTTGATGAGCAGTTAAAGGGATAGTTCACCCCAAAATGAAAATTCTGTCATTAATTATTCACCCTCATGTTGTTCCAAACCCATAAGGCCTTCGTTCATCTTCGGAACACAAATTAAGATATTTTTGGTGAAATCTGAGAGCTCTCTGACCCTGCATAGACAGCATCCCAACTGCAATGTTCCCAGTCTCAGA